GCAACCTCTGCCTCCCGGGTTCAAGCGATTCTCCTGCCTCAGCCTCCCTAGTAGCTGGGATTGTAGGCATATGTCACCACACCCAGCTAATTTTGTATTTTTAGTAGAGACAGGGTTTCTCCATGTTGGTCAGGCTGGTCTCCAACTCCCGATCTCAGGTGATCCACCCGCCTCAGCCTCCCAAAGTGCTGGGATTACAGGCGTGAGCCACCATGCCCGGCGGGAGTAGGATTTCTATTCCCAAGATCTTCATTTCTACCCAAAAGAATTTTGTGTACACAGAATATAAGTATGGTATAGATTTTACTCTCCTGGAGGTCTGTAACATGCCAGTCTTTGAAATGTCATGCCAGGGAATCAGAGCACGCCCTTTGTTCCTCATTGTAGAGCGTAACATAAAAGCAATTGATCTCTTCAATCTCCTGATTTTCTACAGAAAACAAAATTAGTTAATCCTTTTAACTATTTTAGTTTAGTTTTATATCCTTTGATTGGCTCAGAACTTTTGTCATCTGTGAAGTAAGGTACGTGCTTTCAGCAGAAGGTGGTCCAGTTAAAGTGAGAAGCATGCAGTCTCGTGTGTGCAAAAGGAACTTCATGGCTAGAAGCCCTTTTGTGATTGGCTTTTTATTGGCTAGTGTTATTTTCTGAGTTAGGTTAGAGATGAAAAGATCTACGTAAAATTCAGTTGCTGTAAAGCGTTCAATTGCTCTAGAATGAAGGTTGGAAGGAGAGATGACCATATTAAGTTGACTCAGCATAACACTTTTTCGAATATAAGGGAACCTGTCAGGGGCCAGGCATGGTGGCTCACGCCTGTAATCCCAGCACTTTGGGAGGCTGAAGCAGGAGAATCACTTGAACCTGGGAGGCGGAGGTTGCAGTGAGCCAAGATTGTGCAACTGCACTCCAGCCTGGGCGACAGAGCAAGACTGTCTCAAAAAAAAAAAAAAAAAAAAAGAGAGAGAGAACCCATTAGGCATAAGTTGAGAAACGTTTGAGGAGGTCAAAAGAGCAGCAAAATTTCCTGCTCTCACTTGGGTTTTTTGTGCCTCTTAGTAATTGTTAACTGTCCTGTCTTAGCCATGGGTAGGTTTTGGGATATAAATTAGGAGAGCTGATTCCTAAATTATCTGTAGTCTTAAGTTATGCTGTATTTCTTTTTAGAAAATGCCTGCATTTACAAAACAGCAGCTGGGTAGCATTCTATGGAACATGTCTTCTCGTGTGCCGTGAATTGTAGGGTGATTGCCTCTTCCTTACAGCTCATTGACTGCTGCTGTGCTCCCAACAATGCTATTCACATTTATCTCTTTGCAGGTGAGGATGACAAATTGATCTTGTGTGATGAGTGTAATAAAGCCTTCCACCTGTTTTGTCTGAGGCCGGCCCTCTATGAAGTACCAGATGGTGAGTGGCAGTGCCCAGCTTGCCAGCCCGCTACTGCCAGGCGCAACTCCCGTGGCAGGTGAGAATCTTTTCTTTTAAAAATAATTGAATGAATAAATATGAATAGCTGTTATAATTAAGCTTGAGTTATTCAAACAGAATGAGTCTAAGGAGCTTTAAGTTCATCTTTTGGGAGCAGAAACTGATCATTTACAGTACTTCAATAGGAGCTCAAAGGACTCTGATCTAATTTTAGCTGAATGTTGACATTTCTAGTTTTCACTGCCAGCCACATTCTCTGTCTTCTTGACCATACCTTCTTCTCAAGTAATGAAATCTCTCTCTCTGCCTTTAGCCTCCTGTTGCCCACTTCCTGTGTCTTCATGATTACTTCTGCAATCACCCACTGCTAAAAATCTCACACTGATTACCTTCCTTACCCATACATAATGTTTTCTTCCCTATCATGAGTAGAACTTGGGTGTCAACTTGAACATGAATGTCTCTCCCTCATCCTACATACCCATTAATTTGCCACGGTATCAGTCCAATGCCCAGATGTTTTATGATCCAGTTTCTTGCGCTCCATTCTCCATAGTCTCCGCTCTCATTTGTCCCTTCTACTTTTGTCCCTTCTACATCTGTCACCAAAGGCTTCTCAACTCCTCTTTCTTATATCACATCTTCTCCCCTCTTATCCACCCATCTATTGCGATACCAGAATGCTGTGCACAAGGCAGCGATCTGCTCACATTCCTGATCACAAACTTCCAGTCTTCCCCTTGCCTCTGGAATAAAGTCCCAACTCCTGTCCTCACTTCTGAGACTCTTACACAACACCAGCCTGGGTTTTCAATTAGCTTTAGATCCCATATCTGTGTGCTTGTTACAGACTATTTATTGTTCATCCTTTCCTCTTGTGCCTTTCTCCCAGCTGGGAGCATTCTCTGCCCGGAATTCCCAGTGGGTAAATTGCCCATGGCTTTGCTGACATTTCATTGCTCTTTTGAAAAGTGCTTGCATCCTTAGGCTTCATGGTTTCTCCTCTGTGTTCCAGCTGAACCTTCATTCTCTGAAATAGTATTTTGGTGCATGGATCTTGTCTCTGGTTTTATACATATCTGTCTCCCATGAGATTATGAATTCCCTGAGAGTAGAGGTTGTGCTTTGTTTTTTACCTGAATCCTCAATAAGGCCAAACACAGGGCCTTGTAAAGAAGAGGAGACACCTTATATTTGCCCAAGATAATACTGTTGTTTCCCACATTGAAATTTGGGGTTGTAAAATGGGCAGCTTATAGGCACTCTGGCTTGGGCGTCTCTTTTTTGAAACGGGGTTTAGCTCTTGTTGCCCAGGCTGCAGTGCGATGGCGCGATCTCAGCTCACTGCAACCTCTGCCTCCCTGGTTCAAGCGATTCTCCTGCCTCAACCCCCAGTAGCTGGGATTACAAGCATGCGCCACCACACCCTGCTAATTTTGCGTTTTTAGTAGAGATGGGGTTTCTCCATGTTGGTCAGGCTGATCTCGAACTCCCGACTTTAGGTGATCTACCTGCCTCAGTCTCCCAAAGTGTTGGGATTACAGGCATAAGCCACTGTACCCGGCCTGGGCTTCCTTCTAAAGGGCAGAGCTGTTTGATCCTGACCCCACCTTAACAGTATTAGCAGGTTCTTTCGCACTCCATCCCAGCTGCACTTAAGAGATGAGATATGTTGCTCTGAAATGGTGGGGCTTTGGACCAGCTGTTCCGAGCTGGGATTACCACTGCTTTGATGTTATGGTCATCTGCAAGCTGTTTCAGCTCTTGGAAGGGGGCCATGAAGGTGAAGTCACACCTGTCTGGGCTCTGTTTATTCTTTCAGTCCACCTCAGAGGTGGGGACAGCTTTTAGTACCTGATGTGTTACATTATCTGGTTCTTTTTGTGAGACAAAAGAAATAGTGTTTTGTATTGCTTTGTGTGGGGAACGGTAGGATTGCATTTTGGTCTTGATTTCTGTTGCCTTTGGTATCTTGTCCAAACTGTCTGTGGCCTGGCAGAAGGAGGCATGCTGTTGAAACTTCGTTTTTCATTTCTGTGAAAAACTCTCCTGGCTTACATTCATGTTCCCTCTCTGTATTGTCATACATTATACATATCTAGTCTGTGAAGAGAAGTTTCCTGATCCCTATGGGATTTGAACCCTTCTTAGGACCACTTTGGGCTACAACTGTGTTCCCTACATTATTTTTTCTACCCACAGGAACTATACTGAAGAGTCTGCTTCTGAGGACAGTGAAGATGATGAGAGTGATGAAGAGGAAGAGGAGGAAGAAGAGGAGGAGGAGGAAGAAGATTATGAAGTGGCTGGTTTGCGATGTAAGTATTTTGTCTTCCTTTGTAGTTGATTTCACAGTCTTCTAAGCTTGGAACGCTTGGAAAGGCTGGCTTGGCAGTAGGTAGTGTGGCCGGCTTGCTCTCTTCCTTTTCTCTCGTGTTGTGACTGTGGCGTAACTTAGCTGCTGTGGGTTTAAATGGGTTTCCAAGATGGCATTTAACTACCTGCCTGGTAGGAGGGAAGGTGGCTTGGTCTCAGTAACATCAGCCCACTTGCTCTAAGATTCAGTAGAATTCATGGTCCCAAGTATATTTATGCCAAGGCTGCTGGTTCTCAGCTCCTTGGCATATGGGGACAGTAGGGAAGGAAGTTCTCGGCCCATTGCCATCTCCTAACAGTTCTTTTGGCTGTTGTTTTATCGCTGCTTTCAGAGAGTGACTTTTTCTCTCTGGTTACAGTGATTTTCTCCTCCCTGCAGTGTGCAGGGCTATAGCTTTGCTGGTTTAAAAAGAGATGACTGATTGTTTGAAGGCTTAGGGGGAAGGATGTTAGGAAGGTTCAGATCTGTTCTCACTAGATGCCTGTAGGAAAAAAGGCATCATCTTTTGTGTTCACCACATTGACTCTCATTCTCTCATGTTCATTTCTCATGACCGTTGGAGAGTCTTGTGTTCGTGGCTAATGTCCTCTTGTCTGGCCTTTCTTTTAACAGGCTACCTCTTTCCAAAATACACTTTTTTTTTTTTTTTGAGATGGTCTCACTCTGTGGCCTGGGTGGAGTGCAGTGGTATGACCTCAGATTACCTTAGTCTCTGCCTCAGCCTCCCGATTATACAGGCACCCGCCACCACACTTGGCTGATTTTTGTATTTTTAGTAGAGACAGAGTTTCACCATGTTGATCAGGCTGTTCTCGAACTCCTGACCTCAGGTGATCCACCTGCCTCGGCCTCCCAAAGTGCTGGGATTACAGGTGTGAGCCACTGCACCTGGCCCGCACACTTTTCTTTACAGGTTTGTAGAAAACATACCGCAGATCAAAATTCTAACGAGCTTTCGAAGCAGTGGTTCAGTTCCCAAGATCATAGCAGCTCTGAATGGTCACACTTGGTATAAGGAGTGAGAGACTGGATGCCTGGCACGACCAGTCTCTTACTATAGTGAGACTGCCAAACCCTAATGACTTTGGGCTTGCACGTCTTCTCCTATCCTCCCACTTTCCCCCCATACTCCAGAAGTGTGATGTGGGACACCTTAAGCTCTCGCGTTCTTACGGGCTCTTTTTGTTTGTTCACTACGCCTGATTTTTCAGGTATCCCAGGGTAAGTGAACAAATGGCCCTTCAGTCCTGCATTCAGGGATATCATCTTCTGTTGGTCAGAGTCAGTGACTTAGGAGCAGATTTTTTTTTTCTTTTTTTCTTTTTTTTTTTTTTTCTTTGAGATATGGGGATCTTGCTCTGTCACCCAGGCTAGAGTGCAGTGGTATGATCACAGCTCACTGTATCCTTGATCTCTCAGGCTCAAGCAATCCTCCTACCTCAGCCTCCTGAGTAACTGTGACTACAGGCACGTGCCACCATGCCCAGCTTTTTTGTAGAGACAGGGTCTCGCCATGTTCCCCAGGCTGGTCTTGAACTCTTGGGTTCAAGAGTTCAAGCCTTGGCCTCCCAGAGTGCTGGGATTGTAAGTGTGAGCCACTGTGCCAGATCTGTCTAAGAGCAGATCCTGAATATGGTAGTATACGGATTCTTTTATTTTTTATTTATTATTTATTTTTGAGACGGAGTCTCACTGTCGCCCAGGCTGGAGTGCAGTGGTGCGATCTCGGCTCACTGCAACCTCCGCCTCCCGGGTTCATGCCATTCTCCTGCCTCAGCCTACCAAGTGGCTGGGACTACAGGTGCCCGCCACCACACTTGGCTGATTTTTTGTATTTTTGGTAGAGATGGGGTTTCACCGTATTAGCCAGGATGGTCTCGATCTCCTGACCTTGTGATCTGCCTGCCTCTGCCTCCCAAACTGCTGGGATTACAGGCGCAAGCCACCACGCCTGTCCTGATTCTTTTATTTTTAAGCTAGTGATTGCTTTCCACTTCTACATTGTAGCTCCCTTTCCAAGGAATTGTTTTTCTAGGTTTCTACAGCCTCTACTTGCCAAAAGGATCTAGGAAGTATTTGGTACTTCACAGCTTTTTATCAACTCTATCTTTCAGACCACCAAAGATATGGTTCCCCAGTGCAGCTCAAGGCTGTAGCACCTAAGCATCAGCTTCTTACCTTTTCTTACTAGCCTGGGCTTGAGCTAGAGACCCTAAAGTAGCCAAGGAAGGGTTATCGTGATCTAGAAATAGAATGGAAAGTAGTGTTTCTCGATTCTTCGTGTCATTGCCTTCCTAGACACCCTATCTGTGTCCAGTGTCATCTCCCCACTCCCCAAGGGAAGGTGATGGAAAGCTTGGAGCTAATCCTCATGGCGTTGTTTCCCAGGGCTCACTGAGGAATGCTGGTTGGCTTGATGCTGAGCACCTGTTGTAAACCTGAGACACAAGTAGTCTCAGTGCCTTTGTATTTTTTTTTTTTTTTTTTTTTTTTTTGAGATGGAGTTACACCCTTGTTGCCCAGGCTGGAGTGCAATGGCGTGATCTTGGCTCACTGCAACCTCTGCGTCCTGGGTTCAAGCGATTCTCCTGCCTCAGCCTCCTGAGTTGCTGGGATTACCGGCATGTGCCACCATGCCTGGCTAATTTTATATTTTTAGTAGAAACAGGGTTTTACCATGTTGGTCAGGCTGGTCTTGAGCTCCCAGCCTCAGGTGATCCACCTGCCTCAGCCTCCCAAAGTGCTGGGATTACAGATGTGAGCCACCACGCCCGGCCTGTATTCTTTATTCTCTCATTGGTGACCCTGGGCAGGTCTCTGTGGAGGGGACTAGCCCTAAATTGTATTTAATGAGGCAGCCTTGTGGCCCTTCATAGAAGTACCACTTTTTCTCTGCAAAGATTCTGATGGTGAGTGTAGAATAACTCTGGGAATTAAAACACAGGGTCTGTTGTGTATGTGTTTTTTTTTTTTTTTTGAGTTGGAATCTTACTCTGTCACCCAGGCTGGAGTGCAATGGCGCAATCTCGGCTCACTGCAAGCTCCACCTCCTGAGTTCACGCCATTCTCCTTCCTCAGCCTCCCGAGTAGCTGGGACTACAGGTGTCCGCCGCCATGCCCAGCTAATTTTTTTGTATTTCTTTTTTAGTAGAGACGGGGTTTCACCGTGTTAGCCAGGATGGTCTCAATGTCCTGACCTCGTGATCTGCCCGCCTCAGCCTCCCAAAGTGCTGGGATTAGAGGCATGAGCCACTACGCCTGGCCATCACAGGGTCTGTTTTACAATCCAGTTCCATCTCACATGTAAATATATCCACTTGCTCAGGCTGAGCTTGGGCTGTGGGAAATCCAGGCTGACCTATTAGCAAATGGCTTCTCCTGAGTGAGAGTTTACAGTTGATTCCTGCAGGGGCCTTATGGCTGGGAATAACTGCAGAACTGGGGCAGGACAGAAGTACCGAAGGACCTGGCCCTCTGAAGGGCTTTGGCAGTAAAAGCACCCATTCTTCATCTGCTGCCACTGCCTTTTAGCGTCCTTTTAGGTAAGGCAAGATAAAATAACAAGAGCATCTTAAAACCAAAGGAAGCCACTGCTTTCCTTGTCCAGGAAAAGGATTCTCCCTGCATCCCTTTCCTCCATTTCGAAGATGCTCCTCCCTTCACCTTTGGTTGTTATGTGCTGAATCCTTATTTTTTGTATCAGTGAGACCTCGAAAGACCATCCGGGGCAAGCACAGCGTCATCCCCCCTGCATCAAGGTCCGGCCGGCGCCCGGGTAAGAAGCCACACTCTACCAGGAGGTCTCAGCCGAAGGCACCACCTGTGGATGACACTGAGGTGGATGAATTGGTGAGAATTATTTATCATCCCTTCTCTAACCTTTCTGTTTCTTATTCCCAACCCCAGCAATTAGGAATTCATCAGGCAACAGGTGGGAGGGGAGCCTCCCCCCTCCTTCTTCCCAAACTTGGAAGGCTGGGGAGGCAGATGGGTGAGTCTGTAGGCAGACAGAAGCAGCAGGGCCTCCAGGAACAGCTATGTCCGGCATTCCCCTGCTGTAGCCTGCAAACTAGTTAGTGGGCAGCCTGCAACTTATTAAGGATTTAAAAATAGTATCCATGTGTCTCCAGTGGGCTCAGAGGGGCTGGGTCTTCATTGTGGGAATGTCAGCAATGTTAGAGCCTCACTTACAGTTGAGTCGACAGTTGTTATGGGAGGGACGTTACCCTCCTCTCTGCTCCTTAACCAATGTAATTTTAGTTGTTTTTAGATCTCACTTGCTTTGAAGAACAAAAAAGAAACTCTTGAAAAGGTGCTTGTTTTGACAGATCAAATTGGAGTTAGGGGCTTAAGACAGGCCATTGGGGAGATCATAGGGCATTAGAAGATGCTCGGTTTGCCCAGCCTTCACCCCTTGGGCTCTGTGTGGCCTCTGCTGTGAGTCACAGCTTTGTTATGGCTACCTGGAATGGAGGCCCCGCCCCTTTTCTCTTTAGCCACTTAGCCCTCACATGTCTACGGTGGAAGAGCCCAGGAAGGGAATTGGACCTCTTGCTTTTCTTCTCAGAGGCACCTCACTCCCACAGAATTGGCTGCTGGTGACCCAGATAGCCTGTTTGGCTTTCTGCAGTGGCTTGTTGATGCCCTTCCATGGTGTCACTATAACCCCAGGTCCACCTGTTCTCCGAGAGCTAGTGTCCTGTTGACAGTGGCCCCCTTCAGCCGACCTCCAGTAGGACGGCTGGTGAAGACGGCCTCTGCTGCCTGCTCTCTGCTGCTTTGATTGCCATGGCCCTGGGGGGGCGAGCGAGTGGACTACTGGGAAGATCCCTGCCACCTGGGCCGAGGGTGCTCCCTGACTTGAATGTCAGAAGGTTTCAGCACCTCTGTGCCAAGGAAATAGTTGAACTCTCTTCCTTTTTTGAGCAGATACACTTATTTTCTGCCCTATGCACTCTTCCTCCTGTCTTGAATCTATAATAACATTGTTATTTCTTTCCTGCCAGGTGCTTCAGACCAAGCGGAGCTCCCGGAGGCAAAGCCTGGAGCTGCAGAAGTGTGAAGAGATCCTCCACAAGATCGTGAAGTACCGCTTCAGCTGGCCCTTCAGGTGAGCGCTGTGTTCTCAGGTGCAAGGGAGAGGAGTGGCCTAGCAGTTTCTAAAAGCTTCCAGAACCCCTGAGGGGCTCTCAGCCAAGCCCTTGCTTTTTAGGATGTGTCTTAGCATGGGCACTGCCGTCAAGGCTATGCAGATTCTCTATTTGGTTCTTCTCCACAGGGAGCCTGTGACCAGAGATGAGGCCGAGGACTACTATGATGTGATCACGCACCCCATGGACTTTCAGACAGTGCAGAACAAATGTTCCTGTGGGAGCTACCGCTCTGTGCAGGAGTTTCTTACTGACATGAAGCAAGTGTTTACCAATGCTGAGGTTTACAACTGCCGTGGCAGCCATGTGCTAAGCTGCATGGCGAAGACAGAACAGTGTCTAGTGGCTCTGTTGCATAAACACCTTCCTGGCCACCCATATGTCCGCAGGAAGCGCAAGAAGTTTCCTGATAGGCTTGCTGAAGATGAAGGGGACAGTGAGCCAGAGCCCGTTGGACAGTCCAGGGGACGAAGACAGAAGAAGTAGAGAGGCAGGGCTGTGGTAAGGGAGCCGAGGTGGGGGGACAGCGAGGGAGGGTGGGAGGGAGGTGAGAGAGGAAGACTGAGAACTCTGAAGAGATCGCAAGGAGTCCAGAAGCGCCCATCATCCCAAGCTTATGCTGTTTTTCTAACAGCTCTTTATGGGGCTTGTTATTGGGTTGGTGGTCTTTGTCCAGAAATATTAAGGGACGAAGAGGGCCATAACCCTCCCTTCTGAGAGTTTCCAGGAGGAGTCTGAGGGTCTAGCTTTTCTGGTGAACCCAGTTCCTGTTCCTGCCTTCTTTCCTAAGGCCCCTCTCACTCTGGCTTTTACCACAGTGCCAAGCCCCTCTGGTCTCCAGGGGTGGGATTGCTGTGTTACATAGCAGGATCAGGGGTAATCAAGCCAACAGGGAAGATGGTGGCGATTTTTCTTTTTTAATCTGTATTTATATACAGTCTTGTTTCTTTAAGCCCATACTCTGTCTCTTCCCCGTCTTCCTCTCAGGTGACAGTATCAGTGAGTGCCATACAGAATTCTGTATTCACCAGCATCATGAAACAGTTGTGGTCTTTTGAGTTGATCTTGGCAGAGTAAAGGGACATGTCCTGGAGCCATTCCTGAATCTCTCTCCCCTTCTTTGTGACAGCTCCCCTCCCCCAAAAAAATAAAAATAAGAAACCACAAAAAACAAAACTAAGGCACTTCACTTAGAGACTGGAGTCCTGCTTATAATCATGCATATAACCTTTACTTTGATGGATCTGGCCAGAGGGGTGTTGGAGCCCAGCCCACCCACATACCAGACAAGCTCTTAGGGGAGCAGAAGAAAAGCAGGAAGAATTTCAATGTTTAATTTTTTTTTAAATTGACTTTTCTAGTTATTAAAAGTTGCTTGTTTCAGCAGTGATATTGTATAAAGAACATCTTGTAAGATACTCCTGACATCTCGCTTTGGCACATGTACAGTACAGTTTCTATGATAATGTGTTTGCTCTAACTTCCCTGGCTTCTCCCTCAGCCCATCCACTCTCCTGCAGAGCAGTTGGGTTGGAGGCTCATTGAGGCAAGCAGCAACACTGGGGGCGGGGGCGGGGTGGGGCGGTGCCGCGTCTGCTCCCTCCCATGCCCTTTCTGACCTCAGACTTGGAACTCCTCAAGAACCTGAAGATTCCAGTGGTCAGTGTCAGTGGGGGGTGGGAGGAGAGAGCAACAGAGAAGCTCTGAGAGCCCCGTCCCACAACCAGTCTAGCTCTAGTTGTTATATTTAGGCAAAACTTTGTAGTCTTCTTTCCCTTTTATGATGGATTTTGATAAAAGTACAAAACAGGGTTTAATTTTCTTTTTTATCACCTTTGAATTTGGAAATTTTGAGCACCCAAGCTCTTCTGTACCTATTTAAATTAAAGTCCACCAAGGGGACTGCAGCTCCTAGAACATGAGAATCAAGCCTCTCAATATTAAACTGCGGAGTGTGGCCCCTGCTTTCTCCGTCCTCCTGCTCAAGGACGACGGGGATTGCTCCAGGGCTGCTGGGTAGTTTACCGTCCCTTCTCTAGGCATGGAGTTGGCACTGACATCACAGCTTCATAACCCCACCACCGCCAGCTTCCCCTGCCTCCTACATCCAGTCTGTTCTTGTTCATAGTGAGAATCCTGTGTTCCCACTTCAGTGACAACTGAATTGTTTGTTGTTGTTGTTTTTTTATTATTGTCTTCAAGGAGGAAGGGCCCCATTAAAGGGTGAACTTGTAATAAATTGGAATTTCAAATAAACCTCATGTACTTGTGTTTATAAAGAAGAAACCATTCTGGTGGCTGTTTCTTCATGCTGTTTCTTGGTGGGTGGGGGTGAGTAGTGCTGTTCTGAGTGCTGCTTTCCCACTGACCCTTGGAGCCAGGTCCTCTGAAGGCTTGTCCTCCAGAGTCAGAGGGCCTCTCAGTGTTCTTAACCAGAGAAAGAAATCCTCCTTTCAAGCCTCTCCTGGCCCTGTCTCCATCTAAAACCCCGAAAAACTTGATTTGAAACTAGGAATTAGGGTGAAAATAGATTTTTAAGCCTTCACTATGGGGAAACTCCTGCCACTTTAAAACCTTCTTCAGGGAAAAAAAAAAGTTGGGGGGTGGTGGGGATGGAGTCTCACTCCATCACCCAGGCTGGAATGCAGTGGCATGGTCTCAGCTCACTGCAGCCTCCACCTCCTGGGTCCAAGCAATTCTCCTGCCTCAGCCTCCCGAGTAATTGGGATTATAGGGACACGCCACCACGCCTGGCTAAGTTTTTGTATTTATAGTAGAGCCAGGTTTTCACCATGTTGTCCGGGCTGGTCTTGAACTCCTGACCTCAGATGATCTGCCCGCCTCGGCCTCCCAAAGTGCTGGGATTACAGGCGTGAGCCACCGAGCCCGGCCTCAAGGAAAATTTCAGACACAGACAGAAACAGTGAAAAAGTGTAATGAATTCCTATGCTCAGCTTTGACGGTTCTACCACGTCTAATCTTGTTTTATTTATGCCTTCATTTATCTTTTAAAGTTTGACTGGCTGATGTGCGTAGGGTGCTGCTAGGCAGCCACCCGCCAATGGAATACAGAGATTTTGCTGAGCCACTGCTGTGGGCACAGGCACTGAGAAATTAAACTGCCAGTTCCTGACCAGCTGAACGAGGTGAAGCTGGTGTAATGGGAAGAGCCTTTGAGGCCCGAGCCTTGGGCGCAGGTTCTGCCGCCGAGTGGCTTTGCGGCCTTGGTAAGCGTGGGCAAGCCAGGGTCTACACAGAGCGCTCAGGGAATGTTCGTCCTGCCTGGAGGAAGCGGGCTTGCCCCAACAGCAAATTGAATTTGCACAGCTTATCCGCTCCGGCCTCCAGCTCTGGAGAAGAGAGCAGTGCCCCCTCTGGACATTTTCTGCAGGGTGACAGTGACACTCAGGGCTCCCAGCCTTCCTCTGTGAAGTCCTGCTCCTCCGGTAGTTTTCCCAGGCACACACTAGGATACTGCCTTGGGGTGGTCACCTCTGGTCATGTCCTGGTCTCAGCACACTCTTAGCCACTGCCTCACCAGGCTGTGACCTTGTGGGGCAGCCACTTCACTTTGATGACTGCAAATGGGGGCATGGGAACTCCATCTCTGAAGACAGGGGCCTGAGTCATGACCTGGGAGTCAGCTGAGGCCTGTCCTTGTCCTGCACACTCTTCTTTCTCAAATTTTGTCTCTGGGGAGGGGACACGGTCAGTAGACTTGGTTGGCAGTGAGGTGGCATCTGGATTCCAACAGAGCCACTCAGAGGGGGCACCTCTTCCTGCTGGCCAGCGGCCAGGGCATCTCTAGAGGACCGTGGGGAACTCGCTTCCCGTTAACCGCGCTCTCATAACCCCGGCCCTGGGCCTCCTGGCTTTTCAACATCTGGGACTGCTGTGTCTAGGAGCTGCTTGAGGGGGGCGACTTCCTGGGAGCAGGAGGATCTCGGGCCCACCACACACAAGCGCAGACCCACAGGGACAGGATCAGCCTCCCAAGAGGCTTGCAGGTGTGTGATGCCGCACTCTGAAGACCCAAATACTGGGCGCCAGGGCCACTAAGGGAAAGGCCCGGGCCCAGGCACTCGATGCACATGCCAGCACGTGTGGGTTTTAGAGGCATTTTTTGGCCCTGGAGGGTTCTTTAATGGGTGTGGGGAGAGGTCTGGCAGTGGGAGGGGCGTTCGTCTACTCCCCACCCGCTTTGTCCAGCTTCTGGGGACATAACCTTGCCAAGGCATATACCCTGCCTTTCCCCACCAGGACCTAATCGGATCCCTGGTGTGGAACGCACAAAAGCTCTTGGGTTCAACTCCAGCTTGGCCTCAAACTGCCTGGCTATGCGTTCCAGCAGCCAAGCCATCTAAACACTTCCCATCTGAAACGCGGTGGGGAGCAGGATCACGTGAGAGGGTTGCGTTTCCTTTTTCCCTTTCCTCCAGGGCCTGGAACTTATTTCCATAGCATCTTCCAGGGCTGAGAAAGCTGGCTGGGCCCTGCCCTCCCTCCCAGGTTCTGGCCTTAAAGCAGAGCCCCCTGGGGCCTGTCCTGACCCTGCACTGCCTGTCTGTGCTCCCATCCCAGCTGCCCTGGAAACCAGCACCAGGCTGGTGTCTGCTGAGCAGGACATGGCCACTGACAGCAAGGAAGAAGGGGCAGGTGGGTGCCCTTGGATGCTCATCCTCCCCCCGCCTTTCCCACACCCCACCTATCTTGCTCTTCCCAAGTCTCTGGAATCCTCTCCATTCGCTCCAGCTGTCCTCGCCCTGGTATAGGCCCTTCCCACTTCCCTTACGCTGCCTGTGAGCCCAGCACCCTGCAGCCTCTGCCCCTCCCATGCCCAGTGTGGGCACTTCACTGCCTCTAATGAGCTCATTCTCTTTCCCACTCAAAGACCCTCGCATGGCCAGGTGTGGTGGCTCACGCCTATAATCCCAGCACTTTGGGAAGCCAAGGCGGGTGGATCACTTGAGGCCAGGAGTTCAAGACCAGCCTGGGTAACATGGTGAAACCCCATCTCTACAAAAAAATACAAAAATGAGCCAGGCATGGTAGATGCCACCCGGGCGGCTGAGGCAGGAGAATCGCTTGAACCTGGGAGGCAGAGTTTGCAGTCAGCTGAGATCTCGCCACTGCACTCCAGTCTGGGCAACAGAGTGAGGCTCCGCCTCAAATTAAAAACAAAAACAAAACAAAAACACACCCTCACCTGCAGCATTACAAGGAGGCAGGGTCATTTGGCTTTGTTGGTCAAAGGCACATGGGGACTGACTTAATGTGCGCTCTGTGCAAAGGGAAGGATTTAGATGGAGAGGGCGTTCCCCGAGCAATAAACAGCCTAAGAACAGGTGCGAGGGCTGTAAGCTTCCCTGGGGCACCACTGCTCCTTGTGGTGAGGGATACCCCTTAACCCCCTCAGCCCACAGTGGTCTTGTCTCCTGGGAGCTTGACCCAACCTCTTTGATTCTCACTGAATTTTTCTTGTCCCTGTGGGATTGGTGGTTGGGGGTAGGGCACAGTGCTCCAGCCCGAGAGGCCCCGGGTTTGGGGCTCCACCTCACCATTCAACCTCAGCACCTGAGCGTCTCCCCTCCTGGAGCCTCCCCGTGGCTCTAAAGTGAGGCTGGCAGCAGGGCTGGACCTCTGGGACCTCCTGGCACTGACACCAAATGCCGGCTATGTGTAGTAGGCACTCAGGGACAGTAGTAACTAAGACCCTCACCTGGCTGGAGTCACAACAGCCAAGATGGGGCCCTGGGGTCTGACCCCAAGCCAATAGGGGTCTCCAGATGGCCACATGTCCCCAGCTACCCAGCCCACAGAAACAAGGCAGGTCCTAGTAACCCTGAGCTACCCTAGCATGCGGATGGACACGGGACCTTTCCCCATACCTGCCCCAGTGTGGAGCTCTGCACAACCCCCGAGCTGCCACATTCCCACCGCTGCCGTCAGCAACTCAAATCTGACAAGCTTAGGAGCTAGGAGTCCAATTCCCACTCTACTCAAGGGCTTCCCAACTCCGCGTGCATGTCTGTACTACCCAGAGGCCCACAGACCAGTCCAGTCTCACCTTCACCCCACCTGGAGATGCCAGGGAGCGGGCTGGGGCTGCCCTGGTGGAGGCCCTGAGGAGCCAAGCAGACACCAGCAAATTTCCAAGCCCCCAGGGAGGAGGCCCTCATGACACTGACACAGACTGACACCCTTACTTTCCACGCCAGTGAGGAGAGCAAGGGCCCAGAGAAGGAAAACGCATCTACAGCCTCAAACTGGACTCCCTGGGGCCAGAGGTGGCCGCATCACCCTGGGGGATTCCCTGAACATCCCGCAGGCGTCCCTCTCTCCATTTGGAAGCAGAGAGAGGGGCGGGAGGGGAAAACACGCACACATGGTGTCTGGGACTCCTGCAATGAACAGCTGTTCTGGGGGGACTTCCTCCGATTGGGGGGTGCCAGCACCCACCGCCAGCTCTGCTTACAAGAAAGACTGCTACAGGGCCCTCACTCTCTTACCTTCCCCCCTTCCCAGCCACAGAGGACTCAGCAGTGCCAGGCGGGGATTTATTCCAGTCACAGCTTCCAGAGAAATGCAACAATAAATTACATCATTAAATAAACTCCGGCTGGACCCTTCTGCCCCCTCCTCTCCACATCCTCCCCTAGGACCCTGTGAGGACTTGGGCTGGTCCAGCCCCTGCATTAGGGGAGACCCCCATCTCCCCTAATGAGCCTCACGGGGTCCCAGCCCTGGTTCTCAGCCCCTGGTGCTCACTTGCCTGACCTTGACAGCTGGGCAGCTGCTAGTCAGCTGTCTCTAGTGGGTGCAGGGGACAGGGTGTGGAGGGCAAGGAGGGGGCATCAGCCACCCCCCGCCAGGCCTGTGTCGCTAGAGGTGTGTGGGGTTCTCCAGAGAGGGGTCCGTCTTAGTCATGTGCAAGACCACGGTGGGAGCCTTATAGTGGCAGTGCGTGCCACGGCCATAGCCCCCGGGGACCCGGCAGGCCTTGGCCCGGGCCCGGCCAGCTGCCATCTTGCGGTAGCACAGGCTCTGCCAGGTCTGGAAAGTTTTGGAGCTCCACACCCAGACGCCGCTGGTGATCCCCACCACCAGTGACATGAAGATTTTGAGCATGAAGACCGCCACGGTGGGCACCGAGCCCCCTGGCAGCGAGCAGTCCCTCCGGCCTCCGGGCCCCGCGGCCGCTGCACATGGTTGCTCTGTGGCCCGAAGGCGCCAGAAGTCCATGTTGAGGCGTTCGTAGACATAGCAAACAATGACACAGGTGGCGG